TTACCACTCCTGGCGAGATGATACTAGGCTTCATGGACACTTGCACTGACCTAGCTAGCCTGGTCACTCCTGTGTTAAACTCTTCTTCTACACACACACTTTCAGGGCTGAGGGTTGTCTTTGTCATAAGACTTATGTCGAAGTCTTATGCGTTACACTATCTCTTGAGTCAACGTTTTTTCAGACACAGAACGTGAGCTCCTCTCCTTAGCATGGAGCTGCAGGCATATATGATGTTCCCAGCATAAGCATTTATGCACACAATGCTTCAGCTACTTATTTGGTAGTGAAGGCCTTTACTTGCTTCCATGCAAATGTGCAGTTCCTGCCACCCACATTTGACAACTGTATTATATTTGGAAAAGTAGATTAAAGGCTGGGATCAGACAGAATAAAACAATTAATGCATAAAGCTTTAGCTTAACTGCAAGAGTACTGCAATGTTCCCACAGAGCTCGAAGGACCATCCAAGACAGGTTTCTTAAAACTCTAATATGATAACACGATCAATATATCAAAGGTTGCCATGTTAGACACACTGGAACACACTGCTGTTGGCTAATCAGTAATCCCAAAAGGATGGGAAATTCTCCCAAGCCTTTCTTTCGTACACTAGCTTCGACAACCTAACCTTTTTGTACATATCCCTTCTGATACATACCCCATCTATGTACATTCCTGACTCTTCCTCCCCACCCCACAAGAAATGAAAGAAACGCAAAGTGTTTAAAACATCATACAGACTAAGAACGTGGAGCCATGTCTATATTAAGGCATAAAATTAGTAGAATTTATTGTTCAATGGAGCAAACTGCTATGAAGTGCAAGGAACGGGTCTTGTTGCAGATGCCATGTGAATCATAACTTCGATATTTCCTGATGTGTATTTAAAACTCCAGCCTCCAAACAGCATAGAGTATTTCTGGATAATGTTACCATGTGTGCATACAACACGTGCACGCAAACTATGCATCCACACTGACTGTTAAATAGCAGTATTGGTACAGCAGCTGTCCGAGTTGCAGGCCTCTCTCTCAAGAAGTCAGACTGCTCCTGTCCAGCCAGATGCCAACTGTCAGCCAGCCAGGGCATGTGCTGCCGCTGCTGCCTACATACCCAAACATGGCCAAGTTGTCACCACGTTAGTCAGGTCTGTTAGAACGGCCGTGTGCTGGCATCACCAACATGCTACATGGGGGTGGGAAGGCCTGCAAAGACTGGCACAAGCATCTGGTGGAAGAGGGACAACAATGGCATTACTGGCTGAGTGGCACAGGGATTAAAATGCTGCCTGAAATAAGAGATTTTTATTGAGTAAAAGGAATGAGTAACTTCTGCCCACTTTTCAGAAGTTCACAGCAGTGGGTATGTTGTTCTATACAAACTCCAGTAAACTGCAGCGGACTGCTCTTGGTTTCTTCATTCCTACTAATTTTTAGTAGCTGGAAGGGATGCCACAGAGATCTGAAATATCTTGTATGCCACATTCACTGCAACTTTTGAAATTACAAAACCCATACATAATAAAAGCCTCGACAACCCTCTAAAAGCCTTGACAACCCTCCAGTTGGCTTCTGAACTTGCTTGTGTTTGAGATTGCCTGCTCTTCTCCAATGAAAATACCCTCAACACTTTCTCTCCCTGAGCTGGTTCTTTCCTAGAGGAGTTGGCCACTTTAGCCCTGATGGCAAGAAGCAGAGCTGGTACTTTTCATCTCTGTAATCTGATCTATGCCTTCTTCCCTGATAAACCTCAAACTTTTCCAAAAAAGGCCTTTTTACAATCCAAAAGCAATTGTAGGAATCCTGCAGTAAATCCATTCCTATTCCAGAAAGCCTTCAGCACCAGAAGTGATACTGAACTAAAGTTTCAGCAGAAATCATGTGGAAAGGGCCTAGATTAATAGTTGGCTACTATAGGCTATTTTCTATCTGCTTTGTAAAACTTGGAAGACTTAAAGAAAGTCAAAATACAGTCGCAGCCACAGTTGTTTCACATATTTACTAGACTCTAAAAGATTTTTTGACAGGTAGAACCTTCTCCTACCCTCAAGCCCCTTATTTTATTACAAGCTGACTTCCCTAAAGCATTTGTCGCAAAATCATGCAACCTTCCCAGGCTTCAAACTGGCATGGCAATGGGCTGGTCTCATTCATGGCCTCCTACAACATGCAAGATTACTGGCTTTCAAATTACAAGTCAGAGGCTTGGTCAGACAGAAAGCCCATTAGGAAAGCTGCACACAAGATTCTCACATGCAAAGCCACCACAGTTTGCTGGCTGCCTGTGTGGTTCAACAGCTTCTATCAGCCTGCCTAAAAACACTCTGACAAAAAGAAGGAGAACCTGTTAGAGAAGAAAATCAAAGCCTGAGAAGCTACAAATAACAATAGAGAGAAATAAGTCAGCTAATAATTTTAAGTAAGAGTCACAGCCTTCAAGCCTTCCCACAACAGACTTATCACTCGAGCTGTTTACTGCAGATCAGAAAGCCTAACACTGGATGGCCTTTGATGGTGCTTTTGTTTCTATAACATACTCTTCTGCAGGTGATTCATAACAAGACCAATTCTCAAAGGGAGCTCAGTTATAGTGTGGGAACTCTTAGTTTCCAAAACAGAAGAGAAGGCAGGATCACTAACATGTTCAAAGTGTTCTTTCAAAACACTAAATCTCATATGCCTCTGAATTAGCAAACAGTTTTATCCAAGCCCTTTGTTCACAGTTTCAGCACATCTAAAAGGGAGCCAACATACAAGTAATTCAGCGGTCAGGAGAACACGGAGGACAAGGACTCTGAAAGTAAATATTTAGTGTAACGTGCTATCTTCACAGAAGCACAGAATAGTTGAGGCTGGCAGGGACCTCTCTAGAGATCATCCCATCCAACTCCCCTGCTCAAAGCAGGGTCAGCTAAAGCAGGTTGCTCAGGACTGCGTCTAGTTGTTTTGAGTATCTTCAAGGATGGATGCTCTGCACCACCCTGGGCGACCTGTTCCAGTCTTCAACCATTCTCACAGTAAGGAGTGAGGAGTTTCTTTAGCTCACAAAGAGCTTTCCTTTGTGTCCATTGATTCACTGCTACTGACTCAGTTCTATTTGACGCCGGCTGTCACCAAGGGATATGACATCACTCACGTCAGCAATGACATACAAGGCTACTGACCCATCTACAAGAACGGATGAATGGAGCACAGCTACATGATCAAAGGAAGTCACTGTTCAATGGAACAGGAAAGCTGCATTAGGCGTCTAATTACAGGCCTGGCAGGATCAACCTGATCAATGTTTACCACTCTGCACAGTGCGCTCACTGCATATAATTGTGTGAAATTGCATTACTCAGCCTACAGCCTCCCTCAGGAGCAGGAAGGAAGGAAAAGGGGCCCAAGACATTAAATTTGTATCAGCTGAAGTCTATGTATTGATACACGGGAGCGAGAGTGGATCGCTATAGGTGGTTTCTGACTAAGTAATTTTTCTTCTTTAAAAGCATGACAAATAACAATAAAATAAGACCTCTGCTCATTAGTCCCATCTACAACATCAGATGAATCCCTTGAGCACATTGTGAGAGAAACACGTGTTTCCCAAATCATCCTTACGACTGCCCACTGCATGTTGCCACCCACGCTGCTCCTTACGGATACAGAGCCTGGGTTCTCTGTTCCCCAAGTCTCTCTTGGTTCCCCAAGTCTCTTCAGCCAGCCAAATGCCTGGGTACATTAACTGTGGATGCAACTGTTAACAGTTGTGTTCACACTGACTGAGGGGATGCCTATCAGAGAGGTAAAAAAAAATCTGCAGTCACTGCTCCATCAGTGTTCGGAGCAGACTCACAGCTTCTGCTCATGTGAAGACACTAGCAAAAAGCTCTCTAGCTACTCGAGCGGCTAGCAGAGTGGGTATTTCAGCACCAGCTTTTAGGAGCTCCTTTTCATGACAATATATTTGATTACTTTTTGTTGTTGAGATTCTGAATCCATGCGAACTACTCTGCCATTTAGTATGACCTGATAGATTGGGCAAAATGAGCTGTCTCAGCAACAAAGGATACCATTTCCAGTGTTTAATATCTCTTAAAAAAATTCCCCAGAGACAGAGAAGCCAAAAGATCTTTAATTTCAGACCAGGGGTATGCAAGGACATAAAAAAGCAGTGTTACTTACTAATAGCCCCTGTGTAGGTTGGCTGTGTAAGGTCTTTTGGCACCTTCCTGTAGATGTCAAACCTGAAAGAGGAAAAGCAACAGCCATAAAACAGGTGGAACACTTCAATACATTTCATGTCCCCATAGGGATGAATGATGCTGAAGTTCTTCCATTCAGCTTTCCAACAAAATTTTTTCAGGGTATGAGAAGGAAAAACAAAACAAAACCCTTTTTCTTTTGTACAATTATGTAACTGTGCTCTTTGTTGGCTCCAATTTCCAAAGCACTTTTCTCCACCTCCCTCCGCCTTGCTGAACTGTGAGAGGTGCCAGAGAAGAAGTCATGCTGGACAAGTTTATAGACCACCGTAAAAGGAAAGGATACTCTACAGACTCCTGAATAACGAGGCCTAGCAAAAAAACAGCGAGACATAATCTATATTGCCCCTTGTAGTTTGTATCCTGCAATAACCAGAAACTGACAATACCAAAGTCACAAATCAAGGTGTTGAGACAAAAAACCTACCCTTGGACACTGGATACACAAGAAAAATTAACCAGTTTGCTACTCCCCCAGCAAAAACCAGTTTAATATTAGACCGTTGTTTTGATTCAGTCATATCTTTTAATATCCATATGGCTCAGCTTTGCTATTTTAAACTCCCCATGGTTAAACTTTCACTGCCCTTATGATGTTAGATTATTTCCTACAACCTTGTGTTCCTGCACATCCAGCCGCAATGCAGCTCTGACATCAGTTTTTCCACCACTCAATAAAAAATAATTAATGCATTAAAAACACACACATCCTAAAGAAGGAAGTGACTGGTCCCCCAAAATAGACTTTTTTTTTTGATATATCACAAGCGGGTGAGATTCGATGCTTTTTCCAACCCTAGAGAGGCATGAGTGACACCAGCTTCCAAATTCCTATTCTGTACCGCACCAAGATGAAACACTCCCATGTTTATTCAGTAGTTCCTACTACACCAAATATTATACTGAGAGTTTAAAAACTAGATCATATTTCTCTTCTTCACTCTTCATCTGTTGAGATCACTTACAACTTGGAGGCACTCTGGGTGAACATTTGCCTCGCATGAGACTAGAAGGACATTGTTGCTGTGTTTTGTTCAGGAGTTGAAGCTGGAGGAAGGGAGGGTAAGAGAGGGAAGGTGAGCAGGTGTAAGGACAGCTCACCTACCCAGCTCAAGTCCTGAACACACTATGTAATCTCTTAACTGTCCCAACAACCCCCTGTGATACACTTGACAGAGCATGCTGCACAGGATATGCACTGGAGCTTTATGTTTTCATGACTCTATTCACTGCCATCTCCTAAATAGATTAAAAATATTCCCGAACCAAACAGTCCATTTATGGCTCTCCAGCTGCTCTGAGAACATCTGGAAAGTGCTGTTTACATTCTTTCCACATACACCAAAGCAACAGCAGAGGCAGATGGTAAAGCAACCCAGAGCAGCTGATGACATCATGGTCTCACAGGCAGAGGAAGTAGCTGATCGTGCCTGCTCACAGCCCATTAAACACTGAAAGCTGGCGTCGTCTCGCCAAAGTCACAATAATAGATCAACAAGGCAAAAAAAGCTGAGAGAGAAAGAAAAAGGGAGAGAGCACATGAACACGCAAGAGCTGCTGAGTGTGAGTAAACAACTGGAAATAGGAAATAGCTCTATGCTGGATTCAGTAAAAACAGTGGCATGTGGATACTATAAAAGGAAGTTTCTTCTTACTATTTACTAGCACTAAAATGATGACCCATCACAGGATTAAAAAAAAAAATATCTAGCTTTTTTTAATAACTCAGTGGAAAGTTGATGTCATGACAGGGTTCTCTCCTCTCAGACTGCCATTTTAATCACGTAAGTAACACCCAAACCCCACAAATTAAGTTTTACATGGCGTAAGTAAGCTCGGATTACGCAAAGACACTACAGAAAGTGATCAATGGCTCCCAGCCACATTTGTCACCTGGCTTTAGGTGCTTAAAAGGCAGTCCACACTCTCTCTGCTGTTCTGCTTCCCATCTCTTCTACCACGACGATACATTCCCTCTCTCTTCTACTACCAGGACACATATTGAAAAAGGGCTTTAAGCAGGCCTCTGGATCTGATTTCCCTGGAGTTTTGAGAACTCTTGGGTCTGTACTTAGAGGCTCAAGCCTCCTTGCAAGCACAGTACAGCACATTCACAACAGTTGTCACATGAGGCTTTTAAAGCACTTTAAGGATCACTTAATATACGAGCACGGTGAGCGTACACAGCGTGCTAGGCAAAGAACATCAGGGAAACAACATCCCAGCCTTGAACTTACAGTCCAGAGGCTCATACAAGAGTACAGTACAAGCCAGGAAGACTGCATAAACCTTTAATAGCTTTGTTTTGTAGAATTAACACTTTTTAGATAAGGACAGACACTAAGGAGTAACATCGAAACAAGAGTGGACAACATATGCAAAAGAGGCAAAGAGAACATACTGGACAGTAGGGAGGAAGGAGTAAAGCTCAGTTGTGATCTTATGGATGAATGCAGAAGCTTGAAGGATGACATCCAGAACCTGACTCAAGCAGCAGAAGGGAAGGCAAGGAGGGGAGGTGCATTTAAGCTTGCAGAAGGATGCTGAAATGATCAAAACAATTAACATTAACAGCAAGAGAACAGAGACAGGTTTGGAATAAGAGACAAACACTGCTGGCTCGCTTTTGCACACTGACACACGATACCAGTAAGTCCAAGAGATTACCAAACCAAAAGAAAAAGGACTAGGTATGTGTGCACGTATCCTGCGAGAATGTTCATCTGCTTGGAAAATGCATGCTCTGGATTAGGAGGGTTTATAATTTGGTAAAGGAAAAGTAGCCTTCGAGACACCAAGTGTTTCCCATAAAGCATTTGATACTGGCCACAGTTTGAGAAATTACAATTTATTTAGTTTGATCCAGGACGGTGAAAACAGTAATTGGGTTTATGCCTTCATAGACAGTTTATGCCTTCCATAGAGGTTGGAAGCCCAAAAGGATAGCAAGACTTCAAACTTTGAAGAGAATCATGGAGATGCTGGCATGGCCAGGGAACAGAGCTATCTTGTTAACTCTGGTTTAAACTAAGAGTTAAAAGAAGATAAAAAATGCAGAGAATTCAATGACAGCTTGAAAAGTATGTTTGTGAGATACAAGAGACATGAGGTCCTAGCAGTAAGTAGAGGATGGAACCCCAAGGGAGACCTCATTAATTACACATAATTCTAATAACTAAGTAAATCAAGCAAACTTCTTAAACAAATCCATGAAGTTGACAAGATTTATTGTAACAGGAGACTCTAAGCCCCAAGAGATCAGAGATTTGTGAGAGCTGTAGCTCCTATCAGACCTAAGGGTTAAGAATCTGATTAACTTTTAGACTCCACTAGACAAACCTTTCTCCTTTTGCCACCAGCTATGTCACAGAACTCAAAGCAATTTCAGGACATCACTTACACTATCCTGGGAAGAGAAAAGAATGAGGATTAGACACCACAGATGATTTGTAATGTATGAGGGTGGAGGCCAGAGAGTTGTATGCATGGTAAAAGGGAACGGGTTTTACTTGCCCTCAGGACAGATGTTCCTGCAACCACTTGCAGTAAAAATTCCAATAAGCCTCCAGGTTCCTGAGGCATTGGTCACTTGGGAGAGTATTTGTACCCTGGGAACAGAGACGAACCTCGTGTTCTATGTATTGCAAAAGCTGCCTTACTGATTTCTGATACTGGCACATTCAAAGCAAAGGAAGATATTACTAATGCTGGAGGAAGATTTCATGTTCAGAAAGGTTATACCAGCCAGCTCATAACACAGTGAGACGCACCGTACTGCACTGTGAATATCCACCTGGAGAGTCTTGTAGTCATATCCGAAATGCCCATGACAAACCAGGGTGCAGATTTACAGCTTGTTCATTGCCTCACAGTAACTGCTCGGAGAGCCCTCTTAACCTGCAGTGCTGTGCAGCAGTTACCCCGCTTGCAGGAGGGATACATTACTCTACGCTTACAAAGCGTGCACACATACAGTTTCCACAGGACAACCAGCACGTTATTTATATCTAACTTTTGGCAACTTTCTTCCTTTGCTCAGAAAGGCAACACTTGTAAGGCGAAGTAATCTCTTTGGGTCAATCAACTGACACAGCTGCAGAGTGGAAACAACAAACTTTTTGCTAGGAAAGCTCTTCCTCCAGGTCATATATATCCTCATAAAGGGAAGGCTGGACCTTGCAGTACCAGAATACAAGGCTAAAGATAGAACTAGGCTGTCATCAGTATAACAAAGGAATTTCCTGACACATCCAGCATATCTATTGTCTTTTCTTTCAATGGAGAGCATGGTTACAAACAAAGAAATAAAAAAAGGCTGTTTGGCAATGTTAGAGTTTCGCAGGAACCAATATTCGTAACTGACATCAGGGAATGCTACACTACTTTTTTCTCAATTCAATGTTGAAAGGATAAAACCAAAAACTTTCTCACCTCCCTCACAGGAAAGTCAACAAACTGGTCAAACAGCATTGTAAAGAAGAGCAGCACAAGGAGCATTCTTAAATAGGTTCAAACAGAGAATTCACAAACCTTAGCATGATTAAGTGAGGTTTGAGGCAGAACTCCAGCTGTCTGATGGCCAGGTGCACAACAGTACTCTCAGAAATATAGAAATTACACGTGTGGTCTCATCTTACTGCAGTTGCACAAGCGGACAGTCAGGTAAAATTGCAGACGGGGGCACCTCAATGGAGTCCAACAAAAGGATGGCAGATTTAAAGTGCCAGTAAGTATTAGACGAACTTCAAAAGCTGTATCTAGACTAATAGGAGCTGTTGTTATTCAAACATTTTTTTTTTTGTCAGATAGAAGTATATGTTCTTTGTGTTCATTTCTCGCGATCTCCTAGAGCCACAGAAGGTATCAAAGTGCTTAACAAGCCAGAGGCAGATGCAGTAGTGCTCATGTGAGTGGGACAGCCACAAACGATCATGTCCAAGGCTGGCTACGCAGAGGCAATGGCAGGTCAAACCCAACAGAAT